TTCCCCCCTCTTTCCAATACCGTTTAGAGGGGATGAAAGGATTTAAAATCTGCTGAGCATCAAGACCAACCGTAATATTTCTCATTCTCTCTCGACGTGTTCGAACAAGTCTCGACGTCTCCAAACAAGTCTCGACATGTCCATACCAACGTTTGTGGACTTGCAAGGTTTTATCGTCGGCAGAAACTTTTATGTAAAAGAGTTTGCCTGTCTCAGAGAATGACGTGTTCTCTCTCACTACATTTTCGCATGCCCCGTACCACGGAAATGTCTCACCAAAGCGGAACAACACCAAGCATCCTGGTTGATTGCAAATCGTCACGGAGTACGATGGGAAGACGGAATGATTCCATACAGCAGGGCTAGAAGTCTGATTACAACGGCTGTGGTTGGCATGGAAGATGATGACGATCTTGAGATACCGTTTCTCGTCTACGTCAAGGGACACGAAAAACGAGAATGGCTGCGAAGGTTACTCCTGGACGACGCGAGAGAAAATGTTTATATCGAAACTATCGACGCGCACTACGAAGACATACAATCTCTAAATAAGTTGAACGTTACACATACTTTTCACTGCCAGAAACATGTAACAAATTGCGCTTTACAAAATGTTTTTAAACTTTACAATTGGTGGTCTAACCATAAAAATATGTAACAACATGTATTAAGAAGTGTATTCAATTGCTGATATAAGCAAAATAAATATATTATATATCGAAACGATGTCTATTTTTTCCCCGTTCATATTTCCTTCTCTCTCTCTCTCTCTCTCTCTCTCTCCCTATTCGCATCCTCTTCCTCGCATATAGCCCTACGTTGTCGCTCTTCTTCTTATTAACTACTTGGGAAGGGAAGATAGAATGGATTGGAAGAAAATGTATGCCATTAAAAAAATTTTAATCTCATTTTATTATCTCAATTTTTATCAAAATCAACATCACCCCGACTTTTGGCTTCGGCAAGAATTTCTTTTACGGCATAAGCCATTAATTCGCACTTTATGATCGAAATAAATTCACAATTTTCGATTGAATTTTTATAGTACATGTCGTGTAGGATTTTAACTGCATCGTTCGGTGTATCACATTTTTTTTCGCCACTCATCCATATATCTTGTAAACGCACAACGAGTTCTTCGAAGATCTCATGTACTGTTTCTAGATCATCATACAGTTGAAAATATATGCGATCTACACAGTGTTCCAGTTCAAATAAAAATGATATGGTTGATGGTTTCATGTACATAGAAGTATTATTTGATGTTACTTTTACAATATTTCCGTGGCGCGTTCTAACTAGTTCTACAGCTAAATGATTAAGCTGTACCGCTGATGATGATGCCGCATCTGTTGCCTTTAGCAGCTGGTCTATTTTTGATGGATTTTCTCTGTCTTCTTTCCAAATTGATTGATCTAACTCCATCTGATGTCCTTTATTATCGCCGAGAATTATTTCTACGTAGGATGCACGAGGTACTACTCTGATCCCAATATCTATATGTATATTTGAATGCTGCAGATGTCAGCGGTAACCTCCTGCACATGATACGCGGTGGGTTATGAGGTTCATCAGAACTGAAAGAATATATAAAGTAAAATAAATACAATTATATGTGGAAAAAATGTGTGTAAATATGTAGTAGCTTTATGGTACTTACACGTCACCACAGTTTCTTGCTCGATGCAGTTTCATCTTGAGGAACGGATGGCGTATAACTGCTTCGAGGAACATACGGCATGTAACGCCGATTGCTAAAACTGTTTGAAAAAATACAATTAAATGTGGAAAAAATGTATGCAATATATATGCAATATATAACTTTACGGTACTTACGCGTTACACTGTTTCTTGGACGACATATCCAGAGGAACGTAATGATTCATTCTTCTAACACTGTACTGGAAACACCGGAGAAATCGACTCACTTCGACGGCGACGACTGAAACTCTGAGGGCGTCTTTACTAGTTGAAGTCCCAGGAAAACTTTTAACTTACCCCACCCTTAACCCTACATCTTCCCCCGCCCACTCATATAGAATAAGATAGAATGTGATAGAAAATATATTGTTAGTTACCTTTTACAAACTACAATTCTATATCTCCAACAGAGTTTCTCCCCCAACCAGTAAAGAATTTTAATCCTCCAATTATTCTATTTACTCCAGGAAAGAATTTTAATCCTCCCATTATTCAGTTTACTCCAGTAAAGAATTTTAATCCTCCACTAATCTGTTTACTCTATAGAAAATCCCCCATCCCCCGCACCGTCGGGCCCAGTCCCAATCCTCCCATTATTCTGTAGGAAAGAATTTTAATCCTCCCATTATTCAGTTTACTCCAGTAAAGAATTTTAATCCTCCACTAATCTGTTTACTCTATAGAAAATCCCCCCTCCCCCATGGTTAGGGTCGCCGCGTAGGGCCCCATAGGGTAAGGTTCGCCCGGTTCCCCCTCCCCCAGCGGTTAGGACCGCCCGGTTTCCCCCTCCAAAAGTGAGTTAGAACTCACATAGCTCCTCT